TGTGTGTGTGTGTGTGTGTGTGTGTGTGTGTGTGTGTGTGTGTGTGTGTGTTTAGGACGGCTTCTTATAATTCTTTAGATGATTTTCCATTACTGTTAACATCATACTGAATGAGGATAGCAGCAAAAGTACTCAGAAAAGGAGCCAGCCCCTGCAGAGCCTACTCCACAAGGACAGGAGTCCTATCTGGCTTGTTCCCCACTAGCTATTATAATAAAAGCCTGTGAGTGATGGCTTAGGTCAGAACCCTTATCATCCAGCCACCCGTGTTTGCCAGGAATCATTCACACCCTGGGGCTGAAAGGCAAATTCTCCTTGACGCTCTTTCAGCCAGAGAATTCCAAGTCTTGTCACCTGCCAGTCTTTACCTTGGTTCCCTGTTCTAAGGACAGAATTAAATGAAACAGAGAAGAAGAATACTGATGGTCAATATTGCCTATTATCAGGAGTCTATTATTGGGTCCACGATGCAAAAAGGAAACTGTACTTATTAACTGAGCACTCAAGATAAATTATAGTAAATACTGAAAAAAAGAAATACATTAGTAAAGTTTGTGTGAAAATGTACAAACAGATGTGACACGTCTTCATTTAACTTAAGGGCTGTCATGTAGATATTTGTTTTATAATTTTATTGCTGTTTGCAATTGTCACCACAAAAAGTTCTGTGACTAGGCACTCAGGGCATGTACACACTAGTCATATCATACACCTAGCCCCCTTTATTATAACAAAAGAGCCCATTAAGCTGGCCACAGATGAGCACTGGGGAGGCAGCAGCAGACACACTTGTGAGTTCAAGGTCAACCTGATCTGCATAGTGAGTTCCCGGACAGCCAGGGCTATGTAGAGATACCCTGCCTCAAAACAAACCACCCACAAGCCTTCTATCACCTATATCCTGTAATGAATGCATAGTGCTCTCCCTGACAGAGTCTCATTTAAAAAAAAATAATAATAATAATTTGAAGAATAAACAAGTTCAACCCGGAGAGGTTTTCCTCCCAAACCATCTCCAGACCTCTGCATGGCCCTCTTCTCCTCCACCACTGTGCCAGAGCCTCCGCATGCTCTCCCCACCAACCTCTCCCCGCCACACAGCTGAACCCTTGGAGCAGCTGACTCAGTCTCCCTATCTGCCACACAGCCTATGCCCCTGACCGACACTAAATCTGCACCCCTTGGAGTACCGGATGGACAACCTATCCTTTCCCAATCCCAGCTCGAACCTCCTTTCCACAACTTCCATAGGAAGACGTAACTGGCCTCACATACTCTCCCCTCAAGTTAAACGCTACGTCATACCTACCAACCACACCATGATTCTGTTTCCTTACGTACACACAGAGAGAAATATTTAAGGGCGGAGTCATGATTTATGCATCCTTACTAGATGCTCAACCTCTAAAAGTCAACCTCAAAGCAGGGTGGGTGAGATGAGACTCAATCTCCTCAAAAACATGCAAGTGAAGAGCCAGAAGGGTGCCTTCAGTCCTCCGGAGCCAGCCCTCTTCCCCACAGCTCCGCATGGCTCTCTCTGACCTCCAGAGCTGCCAACTCCCCTATGGCCCAGGACATCTCGTATCAAAGGCTTTTTTCCATCCCTCTCTAGTTACAGCAGAATCCTTCCTTCTGCCTAGCTCAGCAGAGAGCAGGCTGGTGATTCCACATGGAGTTCTTATTAAGAGAGAAAATCAAGTCAGAAAACCTCATGAATAGAAAACACCAGAGAAGGGTTCGCAGAATGTAAACTTATCCTTACTTAACAGGTCCAGCCTGGCAGCCCCCATGGCGCCCATTCTCTTCTCACCCCCTCACCACAGCCATCATCTACATGAGACAGTCAACAAGCACGCTGAGGCAAGGTGGATTTGTGTTGGTCCCACACTATCTAGGCCTGGTGACGTCACCAGACCCTGTGCCAAATCCAAAATCCCTTCCACAGACGGCTGATTCAGTTTTCTTCACGTACGCAACTCTTCCTCTGCATCACCTCAGACTCTAAGCCATAACAAAAGTGACGTAGTCTCCTACCTCGTTCCAAAGATTCCAAAGTTGGCCTTGAGACTGGCTTCTTCTACATAGAAATGCCACCAGGGGCTATTCAGCCGCCTGCAAAAAGCTCCTACGCTCCCTGGGTTTCTTTGAGCCAGATGGAACCATCTCTCCAGCCCCAAACCATTAACTGGAGGAAGACGTGAATATCGTCTATCCTCGTGAGTTCCATCATTGGAGGCCCTTTTCTACCTTACAGTATTCTGTGTATAAAATCCAGACATCCTTAAAAATTTAACCCTTTTTCCTCCTCTGAAAACTTCCCCTGTGTTCAGCCTCTGGAATCTTTGCTTTTCTGCATTTATTTTTTGTTGTTGTTGTTGTTCTTGTTTGTTTGTTTTACTTATTACGTGTGCATCTGTGTGCCTGAGTTTATGGACATCAAATGCATGCAAGTGCCCCCACAGGCCAGAGAATGTCAGATGCCCTGGAACTATACAAGTGTTGAGCTGCCTGCTAACAGTGCTGGGAACTGAACCTGGGTCCTCTGAAAGAGCAGTAGGCATTCCTAACCCTCTTAACCACTGAGCCAGATCTTCAGCCCACCCTCCCTGGATCTGCATCCTTTAATTTCAAGCATCTCACTTAACTTAAAAGCATGTCAAGTGCTGAACAGTGCACACCAGTTAATTTACTCAATCTCTATAATCTCTTCTAACTTTTCCTTATGAAAATATCCAAGCATACAATGTAGAAGAAATGAAAGTACAATAAGGCGAATATTCCAGTTCCTAATTTTAATTTTTTTCACAATACCACCCACCTTCCCCTCCCACCAAAAATCAGATTTTTTAAATAATTTATTTCATTTTATTTTATGTGCATTAGTATGAATGTGTCTGATCCCTTGGAAATGGACAGTTGTAAGCTGCCATGTAGGTGCTGGGAATTGAACTCGGGTCCTTTAGGAAGAGCAGGCAGTGCTCTTAACCACTGAGCCATCTCTCCATCCCCTCCCCCCAAAAAAATCAGACTTTAAAGCAGATCTCTACTATCATATCACACTGTCATCTATAAATGTTCCAGTGTATACAAAAAGATTGCACTTTAGTTTTGTTTTGGTTTTTTGAGACAGAGTCTCTATTATATAAAACTGGGTGTCCTGGAACTCACTTTTGTAGCCCAGGGTGGCCTCAAAGTCATAGAGATCCAACTGCCTCTGCCTCCCAAGAGCTAGTATTAAAGGCATGTGCCGCCCACCATGCCTGGCTAAATTATAATTTCTTAACCTCAAATATCCCGTCCGTGCTCAAGGTCCTTATTTTTTCTCTCTTCCTCAGCACCGAGGGTTATAGCTGGGGCCCCATCCATGGTGGGCAAGCATTCTTTAGAGGAGGCTGGAATTCAAGCCCTCCCTCTATTTTTTTTTTTTTATTCTAATATATTTTTCATGAAGAAAGTGAGGCCCATGTAATCGATAGTCAGGTCACATCAAGTTTCTGATTTGATGCTCTGGTGCCTCTTTCCATCCAGATAAACCCTGCCGAGCACTTTCCCCAAGATCAGCCTTCAAAGAGAACGCCAATGTTCCAGCCGGGCTTGTTGCAACAAGTACCAGCATCCCAACTATTCTCTATCCATTGCCTAGAATGGACCACTGAAGTTCTGACTGTTCCCTCCACACAACTGGAACACTTTGATTTGCACATGTTTCTTTTCAATGCTTAGAGCAGGCTCACATATTTTGTTCTTATTGTGTTTATAAAATGGGCCTTTTCTTTTCTGATGTTAAGCCTCTCCCCCACCAAAAGAAAGGTTTGAGACCCCAAGAAGACTTGTACTAACCATGAACTGTTCTGAAACACAGGGGGGAGGGAGTACAGGAAATCAAAGAAATAATAAGTTCTTAGAACGGGCACCGCAGTGTTCACATTTATCCAGAGTGGTGATACAATGAAGATGGCCATGAGCAGAGGAAAACAGTGGGCCTCTTCTACCCTGTGGAGGGAGGACAAGCCTCTCTGGCAGATGCTGACACAGAACCTAAAACTTCCTAGGAGAAAAGGCAATGCTGGGAATGGTCCCTTCAGAGCCCAGCCCTCAACAGGTACTAAGTCACACAGCTCAGCCTCTCAAGTATTTTCAGGTGAACTGTATGCCATGAAAGAAATTAAAATATAAGCTATATCCCCATCACCAGAAATCACCTATATGGTTTCCAAAAAAACAGAATTATAAAGGATCCCTTTCATGAATGCTACATTAAGACACTTTGGGAGATGCTTTTAAACTTTTCAACAATAAAATAAAGAGCTGTTTGAAATAATCTTCTAAAGTTATAGAACACAAACTAAACAAGAAACAAAATAGATTCCTTTATACTGACCTTCAAAAATATTGCTTTAAGCTCAGCTGGATCTGCTCTCTTGGTTAAAGCCACCTATAAATAAACATAAAAATGTTTATATTATTAGAACAAAGCTGAGAAATCAAGCTAGCAGGAGGGAAAATAAACTTTGGGTTAGAAATTAGTACATTTCATTTTTGTCCTTAAAGTACCAAATTGCTCCAGTGTGTAAACTAGTCCCCAGATTTTAAGGCAGACTCCATGTGGCTTCTAAAATGATAACATTCTGTATGAGAAATCAGAAAAGCTTCAATATTTAGTGTTCAGTATTAAAGGGGGGGGGGAATTAGTGAACACCTGGCATTTCTAAACCACACCCAAGAGTAACTCATGCCTTCTCCCATGGGAATATTAAATATTAAGTACAACCTGTTTGCCAATCCTGCATAGGAGCATGTTTCTTAAAAGTTAGTGAACTAGTAAATCATATTAAGGACCCAAAGGAAACTGCTTCCCACAGTTCCTCCATGAACAGCACGTACACCCACCGACCTAGGCAGGCCAAGGAGCCTCTCCACCTCTCTCTCCCCAGCCTTAATAAATCATAAGTCTCCAAAGGTGTGACTATTATTCTTCACATTCTAGAAACTCAAGGGACTGTGGTTACCTTCCACCAGTAAAACTTGACAGATTAGCTCAGAATAGGTGTTGTGCTTAGCAATCCAGGCCACAAAGTCCAAAAACATCACTGGGGGAAAAAAAGCAAGACAAACTTGAACATGACTGGCCCAGGCCGACACAAAAGAACCCTTATGCTGAAGCAAACAGTGGGCTTATTCAATGTCCCATCACCCAGTCCTGTTGGCAAAAGTGGTCATGAGACGCAGTTCTCAGCAAGAACACTGTCACCCCATGATACAGCCAAGGCGGGGGGGGGCCCCGGAGCCACCCCAAAGCTGGAATCGTGTCCCTCTCCAAGAGGAGATTTATGCAAATTGTTCTAAATCCCTTCTGTGTGTTTGCAAAGGCTCTTCTGAGATCCTTAACAATGAGATTTTTTGTCTCTCAATATGGAACTACCAGAGCCCATTGGCTCACCACTGTCAGGAATAAATTTATTAAACTTCACTGGAAGGGGAGGTAGGCTCTCTGAAAGCAGCTGCTTGGTCGCCTTGTTTTGCTAATGCCAAGATAGACTCTTTCCACTTCAGCTGAATACCTGACACTATCGCTGTCTTAAACCCAGAATTAGCCGGTGTCCTTTGCTGTTCAAGAACGGAGGGAAAGTAAGAGCACTAACCAAGCCATGATTAATGATGCCGCTGACCACGAACCAACACAAATGATTAATGACGCTGCTGACCTCCAGGTTTGAGAAGAGGAGGCCCTGTTGGTGGAAAGGTGGAGTCAGGATGAACACTCCAAGAAAAGGCATCACAGAAGTGCCTCTACCTCCACTCCGGAGCAGAAACATTCCTCCCACCTTGGTAATAATCCTACCCTATGACGGGGTATTTACTAGGCATGGAAAGAGAGGCTGCACATATGCTGACCTAAATTCCTAATGTTTGTTTGTTTTTTGTTTTTTGTTTTTTTTAAAGGTAGAGAAATGTTCTACGGAATGAGCTAAGCTTGCTCTGTCTGAATGCAGGTTTGCACATCTGCTCAGTTCACGACACTACACACTCTGTATGAACAATACTGGGCATTGCTATCCCAGCATGCACCTCCTTGGCCTGACTTCCCAAAGCACCATCGTCTCCTGACCCCCCAAATCATCAACGTCCCTAGCCAGAACTGAACCTCTTTGAGAGAAAAAGCAAACTCTTCACTTTGTAACCCATGCAGGGTCTAGGCACAGGAGAGTACAAAGTAAATAAAATCTCTCTTGGAGCCAATGCCACCAAGAATGTACCCTTCAGTTTACAATGTAGTTACAACGTCGGGTCCTCACAGCAAGTCAGAAGGGGAAATCAAGGTTCAGAGAAAGACATGTACTTCCTTTCCGTAAGTCAGATGAAAAGTCAGTTTTCTGTTTGCGCTTGTGTTTTCTCGGTCTCAAATCTCCCATCCCCACATCACAGCCTTACGGAAAACAGACCGCGCCAGAATCAAAACCATTGTTCTAAATGGGGTTTGCCTGGCACAATGGTGCACAGCTGTAATCCCAGAATTTCAGAGACTAAGGCAGAAGGATCTAGAGTTTGAGACTTTGAAAAAGAAGAGCGCTTTGGTGTCAGACTGTCCTCACACAGAAGGGAGAACCAGGAGAGAGGAAGAAAAGTTGGTGCTCTCACAGACACTCACAAAAGCCCCAGCCACACACCACAGCCTTTGCTCTCCTAGCCTACACAACGCTACTCTCGAAAGCAGACCCAGGGCTGCAGGTGGGTAGCTGGTTAATGATCACTTGGGCATTTGCCTGAGACTGAGAGTCATCTTCTTAGGCACAGAGAACGATGGAACCAGGAGACAGTTTCTTAAAACTGACTACCGGCCTCCTGGGCCTTATCTGTACTCACTCCATCTACTGCCCACTCAGCACACACTAGGTAGCTATTTGGAAGATCCATTTTGGCCTCTACTCACACCCCCATGTCATCTGAGGCAAAACAAGCACATTGATGACTACACAAAGTTGCAGGTCAGAACTACGATGTGAAACAGAGTCTACCTGGTGGCAAAAGCAATACCCAAGAAAATACGTACTGAGACGTACTGAGAAAAGTTAGCCAAAGAAATGGAGCTGTCCTTTTCACAATAACCCAGAACAGTTTAGCTCAGTGGTAGAGATGAGACTCTTAATCTCAGGGTCATAAATTCATGGTCCACCTTGGGTGCCTACTGGTATTTTCTTCCTTACCTGGGGGAGCTGTTGGCCACCAGCATAAAAAGGCAGGAGGAGCAGAAGACAAGGCACAGAGCTTGGAAGGCTGTGAGCACGTTCCAGGAACCACTTCAGGGAACTAGTTCAACTTTAATTCGGGAGAACAAAGGCTATATGCCCCTTGGGGAGTGGAAGGGCTCCTAGGCCAGGTGTACATAATTGGTTAGAACTAGGCGCTTTCAGGATGCTTGATTTGCATTAACTGGCACGGTTCTATCATATTAACAGGAACACGGTACCTAATTATCCTATAGGTACAAGGAGGGGAGATACCCATAGGTATCAAGGGGCTGTGTCAAAGGCCATGTACCAAATGTGGTTAGGGGCATCTGTCTAGAGAAACTCTCGAGATGAAGTCAGGCAGAGAGAGCAGGAGGCCACACTAGGGAGAGGGAGTCTTGAACCTTAAAGCTGAGCTTAGAATGGCTATCCGAACTGGTAGAACTCCAACCTCAAACAGCAGGGTCCTTCCAACAAAGGCGTCATGAGACAGTCTTACCTGGTGGCAAAAGCAATACCCAAGATGGTATGTGCTGAGACAAGCTAACCAGAGAAGTGGAGCCGTCCTTTTTAAGATAACCCAGAACAGCTGTTCTGAGGCATGCTTTATCGTCGAAGAGCCTGGAGTTTATTCTTGGGCTACAGAAGAGCCATCAAACTTCAGATAGTTTCCAGATGGATCATCTTTGTACATACACATGTGGGTATGTGTATCTTACAAAATAACATGTAAATATGTACGAGTACTAGTCATTTAATTACTTGATGTTACCATTACTTATCATTATCTTATTTTCTGTTGTATACTAAAGTCTAAACTAAAAATAAAAATTGTACTACATTTTAAATAAATTAAGTAGTTGGTTTCCGAATCTAAGAGGAAAAGAGTTCTTTGCACGTGACTATGAACTAACACTTGATATTTAAATCAACACAATAGAGAATTTTGTACTCGGTCAGACAACATGTTACAGTAATTCCAAACTTAAGAGAAAAAGAAGCAACGAGCTGCATGGCTACTACTCCCATACACTGGGAAACATCTAATATGATTTAACTTATATGGAAATTGCAGGTATGTTCTATAAATCCAAGATACGAGTTGGTAAAACTAGAGAATTCTGAAGTATGAAATGTGCTTTAACAAGACAGACACTAGTTATAGCCATGTGAAGAGGTCATCAATATCATCTGCAAAACACACACAAACTAGGTTAAGAAATTAAAAAAAAAAAAAAAACAAACAGTAACATAATAACACGACTTCACTAACTGGCTTTTTTCATAAAGGGAACAAAAATATAACAGGAAGAACCAGAAAGGTGTCTTTCAGGACAAATAAACTCTCATTCTAACACAAGTTGGAACTGCCAATGGCAGGGGAAAGATTCCTATGCATAGGAGTAATTTTTAAATCCGCTTGCTTACTCTGGAATCAAGCCACAGTCCCAGGCTCATTACTTTCACGAACTGCAGTGGCATACTCTTGTGCACTCAAAATAGTTGGTCGGTGTGACAGACGGCAGTAGGGGCAGAGAAGAAATCCAACATGGCTGGGTATGGTAATCCCGGCCCTAGAGAAGCATCCTTGACTCTCTGAGACCACCTTGGATGTAGGAGACCCTGTCTTAGGAGGAAGAGGAGGAGAGGTAGGGAGGAAGCTCTGAAGATGTGAGACCCGGCTGGATACAGCCTTGAGGAGCGGGACATCAGACCTACAATGGTGGCTTGCTTCAGTTCAGCGGATCTTGAAATTCTGAGCCTGGGCACTTGCACTTACATGAACTTCCCCACATGCAGATCTCTGAAGAAAATGAGGGGGGCATCCAAAAGCATAAAGAGCTTTCCAGGACCCTGAATTCAAAATCTCTGCAACCTAGTTTGCAAAGCTTCTCTCACAGACACATAGGCTTGAAGACGTGGTCCCAGCTTGAGGCGGTGCTATTTAGGGAGAAGAGTCTAGTGGGAGCAAGTGGTCACTGGGGGCTCTGAAGTTCACAGCCTGGCCTTGCTTCCTGTCTGGTGTTCGCTTCCTCACAAGAGCAAGCTCCCACTTGCACAGCCAAGAGGCCCCCCATGCTGCTATTCCATTCCCACAACACTGGGCTAAGATAAAACTCCCTCCCTTATGGGCTAAGGCAGCTGACTTGGGGGATATATAATAGATATAATGTGTATTATAGTATATTATCTGCTAAGTCAATTC